TCTAATTCTTTCATTGCTGTTTGGGAAAACAATATCATTACCCCTCCTATCAAAAAATTCCCCCATAAAAAATAAATATTCTCTTAAAGAAACATTTATGATATTTACTAAGACTTATCAAGCAAATTCCTGCCTTTAAATCAAAAGCCAATTTGGGCAATAATCCAAATGACAATTGGTATAATTTATTGCTTCAAGCAGGCTGCCCAACATTCATAGGTATCAAAAACTGAATATGATATAGTTTAACTTTAATGTGTTCACTTACCAGATACTGGATTAGATTAAAAATTAAACATAAAGATGAGAAAACTAAGACAATAAACAGAACAATCTGACTTAGAATTGGCAATGAAGATACTGGAGTGATGAATAATTTTTCTCTTTTAGAATGCACCAACAGTAGATTGAACAAGCAGTCAAAAATATGCCACAAACTAACACTTGGTAGAGCAACCATGAAAGATATTGGAAAAGATATTTAAATGCAAGTAATATGTCTATACCTATAAAGATCAAAAATGTGCAAACCATACTCTATTGAAGCAAACATTGGACTTTAAAGCTGGATAGAAAAATTATAGTCCTCAACAACTTTTGAGAGCTATTAGAATCAGAATTTTCATTACTAAGGGCTACAAAATCCTAATGTGCAAGTACATTGTTTAGGAATGGCAATCTCTGCAGTCCTGATTGTTAACCAATCTTGTGTGTTAGACAAGGCAACTTCCTGCTTGCTTCCTACAATAAAATCAGTTTAACCCTAAATTGATTTAAATATAAAGTTAAAGTATGACGTTCTTCAAAGCATAAATATGCAAAATAATATTGGATGAATTGCTGTTGGCATTTGTTTGAACACTTCACAAAAAACATGTTTCTAATGTATGACTCAATACATAAAATAGCAGGAACATACAGTAAACAGGGAATGAGTATCCTTCTAAAGATGTAATATTTATAGTGATATAATTTCATTTGTTTATCATTTCAACTTAAAAGTATCCTTTGACTAACAAGAAGGAAATAAACATGCTGGATCCAAGCCTTTCTAAAAGCATTTGGGGAAACTACAGAGAATTTGTTGTTTCCTAATATGTTCTGGAATAACCAAAATTTATGCAGTATTTAACACTGTTTCAATAGTTTTTGTTATTGTTCAGTCGTTAAGTCCTGTCTGACTCGTCGCAACCCATGAACACTGTCACCTTCTCCTGGAGTTTGCCCAAATTATATTCATTATATCATTGTTCTCTCATTATAACTATTGTTCTCCCACACATTGATTTCTTGATTTACTGCATTTCCCAATATATACCACTTCTTTCACATCTTCTCCATTTTATGCAGTTTAAAATGTGGATTTAAACATGTTAAATACATATAACCCAGAAAAAAATTCCTTAGGGAGGAAGGTATATACAATAGATACAATAGTTCCTCAACAGTCTTTCCAGGATCTTTTGATTGTTTCCTAATGAAATGAATCATTTTATCTATAAAGTGTGACATTTAGAAAATTAACATAGGAATGGCTTCACAAAAGAAGCATTTCCCTTAATTATTTTTAAAAACTCACATTTCAAAAGCTTCTATTCTCTTCCTCAGTTCTTCCTCACGGCTTCTTACTGTTTCAATATCTTTTAGTAAGGTTTGTCTTTGCAAGTAAATTTCCTTTGCATCAATCTGTTAGGATAAACAGTTTGGGTGATATATCCCTCAAAAACAAGAGTTTGAAAAAAACAGAGTGTGCTTGTAATACCAACTTCCGTAAGTTTCTACTTCCTTCACTGATTTATTGATAAACTAATTACTTGGCACAGGAAGATATGGAAACTGCAGCTTAGGTGAAATAACAAGTATGAGGACATATCAGTGAACATGAAGTAATGAACTCCAGACCACATAACAAAAAACAAAACAAAACTCTCTGTCACTAGGGACAAACAAAGTATTTTAAGTTTGAAACAGATATTTCAAGTAGTTTGAAACACATTTCACAATGTCATGAACAGTGAAGTTGTTCTGCAATCCTCCTCTCTTAATGGGCTGGACTTAGGCTTAGTCAGGTGATCTGGGAAGGGGGATCTAGCAGGCATTTTAAGGAATACTACTCCTCATTGTAAAAGATTCATTCTAGAATTGATTATTATCCAGCGCTGTGACACTGCATGACTGTTCAGAGTAAGCCATTCCTGTTGTAACTAGAAAGAGAGAGGGAGAGAGAAGACAATTCTGTAATTTCTTTATCTGCATCTTTTTCAATCAACCTATAAGACAAAGAAAGGATATACTCCTGTTTGAATTCAAGGAAGCGTGGGAAAAAATGAAACAAATGCTTGCACCTGCCCCAGCTGGTCCTTCACAAAAGCAAAACACTTCACTCCATTGAGTTGAATCAAAAGAACTTTTTATGAGAGAAAGTGGTTGCCTTATAATCAGGTGGAATCTGAAGGTCCCACACAAAGCAATTCTTCCATTCCCCAAACCCAACCCTTGGTCCACCAGCAGCCAATGTGATGCCGCAAGAATATTTTGAGAAGCCTGAGGTGCTAGACACATAACAGATCACTCTCAGGGCACGACGGCCTTGGAACCAGGCTAGAACTGGCTGGGAGGGAGTCTGCTCTGACTCCGAAGACAATCCCACTCCCTAATTCCCAAATGGTTATAGCAAAAGCAAAAGTATGTGAAAAATGCCAGCCAGCCAACCTTCCTCCCTCCCCTCCAACAAAATGGCAGGACACGATGTGGACCTGACAATTTCCCAAATTCTGAGAGGTTAGCATTTCATACTATGTTCTATCTATTCTTGTGATCCTGTGGTGAAATTGGACCAAGAGACTTGTTCTCATTTCAAAACGTTTTCAAAGTTTTAAGCCATAGAACCAGTAAGCTTTAAAAAAAATCGTACAAACTTTGACCATGAGGTAAAATGATGATAGAAAATTGGCTGTATTTAAGTGAAATTGGCTGGATTTTTTTTTCTCTTTTTGTGTTTAGTATTTCATAAAACCCATCAAATTCTCAAAGCACTCTAGGTTCTGTGGAACACTAATTGAAAAATTTGTCGTACATGTTTGAAATATTTCATGTTTTCCCCTCAATGAAGCAGGAAATACTTCAAGTGATTCAAGTTTTATTCTGTTATAATGCAGTCAATGCATAGCATCTTGATGAAACAATCCAGACTGGATGTTTTTTTGCAAGCCCAAAACAAAATACATTTCCCATTTCTTTCACAACTGTTTGTCAAATATAGGCTCTTAGCTGAATAAATCAATATATTTTATTTTTTCTCAATACAAACTGAACATTAGCAGCATTCCACATAATAAACCACAATGTGACATGTCACCCCACTGAAATCTTCTTTAAAATCCAATTTTTATTATGAGTATCTAATGCATTAGTAACTGTGTATAATATCAGAAACTGAGGCAAAATATATATAATTACTTTCAGAAACTTTCTGAAAAAACTAATATTGGCTAATTCAGCAAACTCTTTCATTGCAAAAAATTTCAAGGGATTAGTAACTATGTAGGTTCACTTTTTAAAAAATTACCTCTTGCTGTTTATGAAGTCGCTCAATAGCATTTCTTTCTCGAGAGGTCAGAGCCTCTGACTTGGCCTGGTGATCTCTTTGAAACTCTTTCCGAAGTTCTGAAATTTCTTTCTGGGATTTTGCCCTTTCATCCATTTTGATTTTGGCAATTTCAACATCCTTGAAGTGTTGTAACTGTAACATTTATAAAACAGAAATTGAAAACACTGAAAATAGATATGCCGGCCAGAAATTATACTACCTTTTCCTGTGCTTCAAGTTCATCTCATAATTTAAATTCATTAATGACATTAACATTTATTCATATGGTATATTTTCAACTTTTAAGGGAAATTTGAAACAGCTGCATTCACCTAGAATTTACAACACCATTTATCTTAAAATGCAGATGTTCAGGGAATACTGTTGGAACCTTAAAGTATTTATGCTTCATTGATACTCAAGAATGGACGTATTTCTTCAACTCTGCAATCTATAACATTTCAGGTATTGGGAAAGAAGAGTATGGAATTGCAAAGTGATTAGAATGTATAGTAGTATTACAGGCAAACTCTACCCACAGCCAGGAATTTGATCCTGACCAGCTCAAGATTGATTCAGCCTTCCATCCTTCCAAGATTGGTAAAATGAAGACCCAGATTGCTGGGGGCAATGTGCTGATTCTGTAGACTGCTTAGAGAGGGCTGTAAAGCACTGTGTAGCAGTGTCTAAGTGCCACTGCTATGGAATAGACCAGTGGTCGCCAACCGGTGGGCTGTGGCCCACTGATGGTCCATGAGAAAATTTTGGTGAGCCGCAGAAAAATGTCCCCCCAAAGCAATTAATTCAGGCTATGCCCGGATTATGGCCCGCCCACCCACTGGCTCCAACCCTTCAGCCGAGTGCAAACCTGCAAAAAGCAGTACCGCTCTTGCCGGCCAGGAGCAAGACGCTGGTGGCACAGGTGGGCTGAAGCGGCAATGGAGATGGCCGGAAGGTGCAGGAGCGCCACGCTACTTGCATTTGCATGGCATTCCCGCACCTTCCAGCTCGCCTCTCCTGGCCTGGGCTCTTTCTTGATGGCCACGGGCTGTAGGGACGGCCCAGGGCAGGAAAAGCACCGGCTGGTGGTGGTGGGAGCAGGTGGAGTGAGCAAGTTTGCACTCACCATCCAGTTCAGAGGTTTGGAATGGGGCGTTGTCGTCATCAATTTCCTTGGCTCTCTCGGCACTCTGCTCTGCTCCCCCCCACATGGCCCCAGCCATCGCTGCCTAGGAAAAGCAAGCAGAAACATAGCTCTCGCTGGGGCGAAAGAGCTGAGACCAAGGAAAGCACAGACAAGAGAAGACAGAAGCTGCCGCCTTTGAAAAACGCCACTTTCTGTTGCCTGTGCCTTGCGATCTCTACTCTTTCGCCCCAGCGCGAGCTATGTTTCTGCTCACTTTCTTTTCCTGGGGTAGGGGTCGCAGCAGAGACGTCAGGGCTGCTCTCCCCTCTCAGCAAGCCAGGCCTGGAGGAATGCGAAGAATTGTGGGTGAGCGCCGGAGAAAGGCATGTTGGAAAAGCCAACACACGTTTCCAGCGCGCTCTCCTCTGTCCCGAAGTAAGATTGAGTGGGGGGAAGGGAGCAGGTAGAAGGGTAGGAGAAACCTGGCTGGCTTTCCTTTGGCATGGGGTGTCGGGGGGGAGACCAAATGCACAGACCAAAAGAACACAGAGGAAGACGGGCTCCTAATAACCAGCCTGCTTGTGCAGGCAAGAGCTTGAGCTTTTCTGGACTCAACACTCTCCCCTTCAGCTTCCACACAGGGAGGGACTCTTCTCTGCTTGGAAGCTGCGGGAGAAACCTGAAGCTTAGCCTCAGGGAATCCTCTTCTTATGTGGAGACCGAAGGATGTTGCCTGGTTATTAGGAGCCCATCTTTGTTGGCGCTTCCATCCCGGCCTTCTTTCCCTCCTCCAACTCCAGGCAGCCACATCTGGCAAAGGAGGGAGGTTTCCTCTGACTTGGGGGAAATATTGAGATGGCTCTGCTTTTCTTCCGTTTATATTTATATATTTTTATATTAAAAATTAATTTTTAACATTAAATTTATATTTAATATAACAAATAAACTTTTTATATTAAATATATTATCTTTTTTTAAAAAAAAACCGTATTAGTGGTCCTCAGGATTTAGAAGTATGAGTTTGGTGGCCCCTGAGGTCCAAAAGGTTGGAGAGCCCTGGAATAGACAGTCACAGGATAAAAACAACAAAGTTCAGGGATTTGAACATCACTGGGTTACACTATATACAACCAGTATTTGTGGGTCATGTTATTAAGAATATATACAATTTGATTTCAAAATACATGTATTCAGAACATATTTTTACTTTTCCAACAATCAGGGAACAGGAAAAGAAGCACCAATATATTGCAGAGGAATCTGTTAATACCTCCTCTTGATGCCTTACATCCCTATTTCAAATTGTCCCCTGTGGGGGAAGAAAATATTTGGAGATCCAATTGTAGTTTTTCCAAGAACCTCTCAGCTATAGTTGATAGTATAGAACATAATCCAATTAGCTGCCTATCTGTGCTTTTTATTTTAACAATCATTCAAAATATTATTTACCACACATACTCTAAATAGGAGAAAGTTTTGTCTCTTATAATAGACGAATTCCTTTTACCTATAACACAATAATAATATTAAATTCAACGAATATTTTTTTTCCTTGGGTTTTATTTTGTTAAAGAAAAGCCAGACATAAAAACAAGGATACAAACATAAAACAACATAGGCATAAATATGAATATATGAAATTACAATATAACTGTAACTATTCCTTTTCGCCTTTCTAGCTGTCATTACCTTTTGCGACATTTCTGCTTGCAGTTGCTGTTCTATTTCTCTTTTATATTCAGCAAGTTTTACATGAAAAGACTCAGATAAGTGACGTTGAGGATACATGCCTGCAAACTGTTCGTCAATTAGTTGAAGTTTCTCAGCTACAAAAACAAAATATATGAAGTGTCCCATTATTGAGGGGTAAAAGTCTTTAGTAAAAAATATCAAAAGGAGAAGAAAATAAATCCAAATTTTGGTATTTCTTGTTATGTTCATATAATGTAATATGATACAGAGGTTGAAAACAAAACTTAAAACGCAGACAAATGTAGAAAACTGGCTTAATGCACATATGAGAAGCTGAGCAATGGAATTCTTCAGAGAAATAAATGTTTGGGGGATCGTGTGAACAGATGCCACGATTTAACCTTACGGCACCAAATACTGTATACGACAAGGGGAGCAAGAAGAATTCTGCTACTCGTCCTGTAAAAAACAATTTGCAAAGCAACATGCAATGTCAATATTAATGAAAGATAATTGTGGAGCCTTTGTGTTCCCTGAAAAAAATAATTGTGGAGCCCTTGGTGTTCCCTGAAAGATAATTGTGGAGCCATTGTTTGTTTGCTTGTAGATGTTTCAGTGCCTGACTATGTAACCTTATCAGTGCTGGGGAATGTGGGATTTGCTCCTGTTTATATACAATAACTTCCAAGCTACTGTATGTAAACATGAAACAAACTCCACACTCGCTAGCATAGATGTTACTTGGTTGGTAATCAAATGTCTGCAAGCAAACCACCATGTTCAGAGAGTATCAAGGACTACATAGTTCAATCCTGAGCTGCAGATATTCTCTTCTATTGGAACATAACCTCTGTTTACAAACTGTAATATATCTATGTCGAACTAAAATAAGGCAAATGTAATTGAGGATTGAGAGATACCTGTATACATTTTAGTATTAAAACGCCTAAGAGGTTTGGCCCTCATCTAAAATTCTGCTAAAGAATATACATACATTCACTGCTACATAGATAATTTGCTAAGTTGCCTGAGGATAAGTCAATTATAGTACTAAACTTACCAAGGGATTCTTTGTAAAGTGCTGAACTTGTCTGAGTTTCTGCACTACAGGTCTCCTTACAGAAATTGTATCCCACCAATTCTGTTAACATCTGTACAAGAAAGCCTTGGAGAAGTACAATTAATAACAAATCTATATCTCATAAGGGAAATATCAGAAAAGAATAGTTTGCTGTAACAGAGTCCCAAACCCTGGGCTGCGGACCAGCACCAGTCTGTGGCCCAATAGGAACTGGTCTGTGCAAGCGAGTGAAGCTCACAGGTGGGATCCAGGCAACGCAAAACCACTCCCTCCCGTCAGTGGAAAAAACACTCTCCAAGGAACAGATCCCCAGCAGCCAAAAGTTTGGGGGCCGCTGCCATAACAGTAAAAAGGCAAAGGACAGTTCATGGAATTTAAAGGTGAAAAGATGATCTTCTAACACTGCAATCATATCAGTTACCGAATCTTATCCCCTTTTCGCCTAATTCATTTCCTCAAAACGTAACACTAAATCTAAAGTGACATTTTACAAATTCATTTTCTAATGGCAGCTTATGTTTTTAAATATACTGTATGCTAATCATCTTTCTGCTTTAATTTTATACTAAAATAGGTTTGTTTTAAAGCAGGGACTGAGAAGGTGTCTGTAGTTGGGGATGTGTTTTTAAGTTTGATCTGCACAGTAAGCAGGAATAAGATCTCTGTAATAGACAAAGTTAGCATTTTTAACATTTTAGTTAGGAGGCTTTTATGACATCCATTCCCTCAACATCTTTGAGTAGCTTATAATGGCATGTACATATCACTAAATGATTTAAAACAAATAAATTGAAAGTCATACCTTTTGTGCTGGCTTTTGTTAAATCTGAAATCTGTAAATAGAAATCCATTTATTCAAAACAATATTCATTACTACAGCTGAATACATAAATTTTGTTGAAGTAATATTCTTTTACCAGCATTTTATAAAGGTCACTTGTTGGATTGATCCTAATTAGCTGGAGCAGGTCTTGTATACTAAGCTCCTATGGAAAAAGAAAAATAAGATCTTAACCATCATCTACATATATTAAATTCTACATAGCTGAGAATAAAATATGTCTCCATCTACAATTCCCACTGTTACATATACAACTATTACAATCAATCTTATGAATACTGTACTCCTCAAACCATTATTAAGTAATAGAAAAGGGTTTCTCAATGTCCTAAGTATATGGGGCAATTCTAAAAATGGCTCAAAAATTCAGTCCAAATAGAGCTACAGTATTACTACCACGATTCCAAAAGGTCATGTGATACTAATGGTTGATTAAAACTGCTGGATCAGCAGACTTTTTTCAAATTCCATTTAAGGGTTTCTTCAGTACTGATTTTGAAACCCTGAAGAATCAGGAGGTAGAGTACCTCAAGGAAATCTTCAGATGTTACTTTGTCTTCTCTCCAGAGAAAAACGCATTGGACCTTTTTCATTTGCCAATTGAGACACACGGCTTATACCAAACATTTCTATAATTTTATACTCGATATTTAGTGCCTTATTCAGCATTAGAAAGTACATCTTTCTGGATTACTGATTCATTGCAGATTATTTTTATTGCTTAACATAGTTTAAAATGTTTTTGACATATTAACTATGCAAAATGCTAAGAGCACTTGGTTATTAGATAAAAATGTAGGAAATAAACACATACATGCCGATTTAGATTTTCTGTCACCTTGAAACCTCATTCTTTTTCCTGTCTGTCTAATATTCCTAGAGAACTTTGTCTTCCCACTTTGGCTTTTGAAAGTACTTGTGGAGTTATAATCCATTTTTAAGTTTCTTAAGGATATTTCAAATGCATATGCTTTTTAGTACTTTGTGAAAGTACTACAATTCTCTGACTCCTTTAGCCCGTAAGTATCATCAGCATAGGTATGCGTTCATATAAATATTGCCTTAGATTGTATATATCAGTGGTGTCAAACTGGTGATCCACAAGTCAAATACATCACATGCAGGCCACACCCATCCCAGCTCCGCAAATGGGAAAAACATTGTGAAACATCATGTGACGTCAACATGACATCACGAGTTTGACACCTATGGTATACATGTATGCCACACTTGAACATTCCCTATGAAAAAGCCTCTTCAAAAGGAATTTATCACTTCTTCCATCACATTACTGAACTAATGAACCAAATGTTTATAAAGCACCTTCTTAGGCTCATAAAATACTACAAAGCTGCCTGCATCTAATACACTATTAAGACAATTTGTAGGGATACTTCTTGCCAGGTTCTTAATCCCTAAACTAAAACTAGAAACTACGCTTTAACTCTTCGTTTTTTTTTTTAAATGCTGCTAGCTGTATCAAATAAAATGTAGGGCATTAAATAAATGGGAGCTGTGAAGAAATCTAGCTTAAAGCTGCTTGGAAAAATGTTGTGATTTCAATTTTTATGGATTTTAGGGGCCATCAGTGCAAACTCTGACATTTTACTTGGTGGCACCCAAGAAAACTGAAAGTCCTTGCTGGAGTTTAGAATCTTGCTTGGATTTCTGCTCCCTCTTGTCTCTGAGATCTGGCTGAAAGAACTTCTTGCCAAAGGATTTCAGTTTTGTGCCTGCTTGGATTTTGGCTGTCAGGCATAGAGCTGAAATCCTTTGTCAGGGAGTTTTTTCAGCTAGCCCCCAAAGATGAGAAGTCCTCAGGAGATGGCATCAGCTTGCAACCTTGTCTTGCCAGCTTCTCCACTGGCTTTCTGGAAAAGCTGGCAAAGAAGTTTGCAAACAGAAATCAAACGGGTGTAGGATGCTTGGCAACTGGTCATAAGTAGAAACAGGTCACCAAACACTCAGATCATTATCACAGGAGGGATGGTGCAATGTTTTGCAATAGTTGAAAGTGCTTTACAGACCATAAACTACCCTTTCCAAGACTGTCGTTAATTTGAACAGTTTTTGCCTTAGGTTGAGAAATTCTTCTAATAAAGGGGTGTCAAACTCAAGGCCCATGGGCTGGATCCAGCCCACAGGGTGCTTAAATGTGGCTTGCGGGGCCGGCCTGGAAACAGCAAGGCAGCCAAAATGGGGAGTCGGGGAGCTGCTCATGGCCCTCCACACCCCATTTCTGGCTTGGACAGCTTCCTGCAGGACTCTGACAGCCAAAACAGGGTGCGGGGGAGGCCCACACAAGCCCCCCCTCACCATTTTGGCTGGCAGGGTGATGGAGGCCGTCCAGGCTGAAAACAGGGCACAAGGGGCCTCATGAGTCCCCCCCACATTCCATTTTGGATGAGAGGGTGCTGCAAGACATGTCCGTCCCTTATTCCCCCACCCCTGGCTTGCCCGGAGAGAACTACAACACTGACCCGGCTCTCGAAGAAATCTAGTTTGATACCCCTGTTGTAATAGATTAAAAAAAAAATTAGGTACCAGTTCTAAATTAAGAAGGCATACCGTAACAAAAAGAAAAAGCTACTCAGCTCCTATTTTGGTTTCAGAAACATGAAAGTCAGATATAACAACAAGATTGCAACTTGATTGGCAGAAACATGCTCAGGAAATATCTCTTCACTTTCAAAGAGGAAAGTACTTACTTTATCCTTTTCTAATCCACTTTCTGGATAAAAGACAGACAGCGAATATTCATAGCCACATCTCCGCAAATGATCTGCCACCAAACTATTACATGCAATAATGATCAATGAACTACATTCACTAGAAGTAACTTTTGGGAGAATTTCTCTACATAAAACTGGATTCATTAGTTCATGTATGAGTTGCTTACGAAGCTGCATCTGAAACAACAACAAAAAACTCATTACTGTTGTTTTAAACTTCCCTCCTGTAGAAAAGCAGGGTATATACATTATAACTAGTTAAGTTTTAAATCCAGAAAGATAAAACTGAGTTATATGTTATGTATAATGTGGTATTGGTTTTGTAATAACTTACATTAAGGAGAAAGCTATGGTTTGGGGATATACTTTGCAATGAGTTTATTAAATGTTATCAATGTCATTTCACACATTCCTAATTGAAGTTAATGTTTTGATCTGATCTGCATTGAGAATATCTGAAAAGCTCCCTTAAATAAAATGAAAATACATTGTAAGCTTAAAGTTTAGGACCAGGCAATCTTTTGGCAGCCAAACAATTTGAGCAGAGCAAGAGCTTTATGAGAAAAATTGGTAGTCACATCATAGATATAGGCAGTGCTGGAATGCTTTGATTTCCACAGCGAGAAATTCTTAATTTGTGTATTAGGGTTAAATCTATGTTAGGTGTATACAAAAGCTTGCATATTTTAAAACAGCAGGAATTTAAAATTTAATAATTCATATGAACGTGGCTAAAAAGGAATGTTTCATACCTCTGAGTTTAAATTACTGTATGAATCTTAAGATTACAGGGGTTTTTTCTTCCCCAAAAATGCACTGAAAAAAAGTGTGTGCAACTGGTAAAGATACCTTTCTAATAGATGTGTGAATCAATAAGTCATCACAAACTGCATATCTGTAATATCTGTGTCACATATTTTATCTCTACCGCTACCAAAATACTAAATATTTTAGTATACCCAGCATCATTTAAACTTTAAAGTGTAAGCTACTGCATTTTTAAACAAAAGTTTAAGTTAAATTGAACTTGAACTGATTTTTGCCAAGATTAAGAATCAAATTATACTAATTTTAATGTATTTTAAATCAAAGACCTTAAGTGTGTCCAAAACACCTCGGTTTTTAAATGTCTGGTATAATTGTTTTCGGAGGTCATCTTGTGACAGAGTTTTAAATTCAGATGAAGACATCAGAATCTGAAAACATGAAAAAAAATTAATGTAATATTTTTATATCCATAATTCAATTTCATAGTAACTTATTTGGCAATATAAATGAACTCCATTAAAATACTAAGCACCACATGCTGAAATCTACTTTGCAACATTTTAAAAAGTAAATGTTTGAAAGTATGAGTAATGTGCTGCAGCAAAACAACAAAAATGCTATAACATATCACTCATTTACTACAACTTTCTTTACTATGGTACAACTTAAGCATTCATAGACTAGAATTCAGTTTGTCCAATGCACACAGACTTAGATACATAAAGACTTAAATGCTTAGTTTGAATAACTGAACTACATAATGGTACAGATTCATGTTGGGAAGTTAAGGTCAAAAATAACACTAGCAATAATCATCTCAGTTTAAATCTGAATTTATAGAATTATTTCATAGAATTAAAAAGAACAGATATGTAGATGAAAATAAATGAAATACTGAAAGCTTCAATAAAAACAATAATCAGTAAAATACTCATCATATAAAGCCCATGTATTATGTTATTATTTTTATTTATTTGCATCCTGCCTTATTTTTACAAATAACTCAGGGCAAGCAACATATCTAACACATCTTTCACCTCCTATTTTCCCCACAACAAATTAAAATTAGCCGGCTTTCATGGCTAATGTTGGACTCACAGTTTCCGGATTTGCAGCCTGGTGCCTTAACCTCTCTAGACCAAACTGGTTCTCAACTGTAATGTAATTGTAATGGTAAACAACGGATTTTTTTTAATTAGTTGCTTCTTATCTTTTTAGCCTTCTTCAACTTGGCTCTCCAGATGTGCTGTATTTTAACACACATAGCTTTCAGTGTTGGTTACTACCGGTAGCTGAATAGTGAGATGCAGCACATCTGCAGATCAGGTTCTGAAAGGAAGGTTAAGTCAGACTACAGTATCGTTAAAAGTTGCCAGCCTCTAATGCCCTAGGCCCACTTTATGCATTTTTATTTATTTGCTAGATGTGTGCTCCTGTTTCGTGTCCTTACAATGACCCAGAAAAGGTTTCCTTCCTCTCATTTGTTACTTTTCCATTTTGTATCATATAAACGTTTGGATTTTAGTTACAAATAAAAAACCAACAAAGGCCATTTTAATTACTGTGAGAGAAAGCTGTAGACTCTGATATTGAAGTAACAATACCCGAAGCTGCTATACCAGCCCTTCCTCTGCAAAGAACAAAGCAATAGTAAGTTCACCCCAGTTTTAAAAGACAATCATTCCTCCAAGATATCTGCTCCACTACACATCACTCTTCCCAGGCTGCCGGTACTTTCCCACCCCTCTCCCTCCACAGCCTTACTCGCTTCAGCGTTTATTTTGTACACACTGGGGATCGGAGAAACGGGGGAAGGTGAAAACTTGCGCTAAGAACAGGCAGACCCAAAGCATCCAGCGGGACACCGCTGCAGAGAAGAAAAGCCCAGCTTCAGTACCGATCCACCCCAAAACAAACGAACAGGCAGAAGGTCTCCTCACGCCCCACCCCCGAAGGAATCTCGTCCAATGAGGATGCGTCCTGAACCGCTTCTTCCAATCCCGCCGTTGCTGCTATCAACGATCCGACGCGTTGCTACCCCAGAATTCTCACGAGAACGCGCGGGGCTATTTTCTAATTCGCGCTTAAAAAAAACAACAACCACAAAGTGTGGCGGGTGTGTCTGACGACATCAAACAGCGCCGAGTGTTCGGCGGAGGAAGGATTTGATTGTAATCTTTTCCGCCGTCTTTGAAACCCGGTAGCTGTCCGGCCTCAGGTGAGCTGTTGTTTTTCTTCTTTTCTTTTCTTTTCTTTTCTTTTCGCGGATATTCTAAAAGTGGATAGATGGTGTTTATTTTGTATTTTGTTTTTTAATGGGAAAAGCGATAAACAGCAGCAATGCATTATACAATCGAAATTTTCAACAGGGAATAATAATAAGTGAAATAAAAGGCTGTTTCTAACCCTGGAAAATCTCTACTTGAAAGTCAGATGGAATCTCTGGTGTACAATTCAGATATTTCAGGTTAACTGGCCCGCCACTGGAAGGCTATTGAATTTGGAATTAGCATCATCTGGGTAGGCAGTTTTTCCTATTCAACATTTTATTATGATCATTCTGGAATATATTTTCCAATCTGTGCCTTCTGCTAGCTTTCTTTATATTTAAGCTATACATCAGATGCCCGAGGAACAGATTATCTCCATAAATGAACAAATACCGTAGTACAATTCTCTGAAACTTTGCTGAGTTTCTTGAAAATAGAAAGCTTTATTCTGATCGAATATACTATGATTTAAACAACAACAACAACTTAAGCATAGTTATAGCCAGATGAAAAGGTGAGGATAACATTATGCATCCTATCCCCCAGTAATATCTTCTAAAAATATTATTTACATAAATAATGGTGAGAAATTTTCAACTGACAAGAATATAAAAAGGATAGGGTTGTTTTTCCTAATGTATTAGTGTATTTCATAACTTGTATTGACTGTTGAACAGTAGAATCTATATTGGAATACAATGTAAATATTAAAATTGATATTTCAGTAAATGTGAACTGGAATTTATGATACAAATCTTAGATAAGAGGTTGGGAAAGAACTTTGCATTGTTGGAATGCTACTCAAACAAAATTATATTTTGTGACTTTAACAGTAAATTTAAATTTTAAGCATTTTCTTTCCAACCTTTACTATTTCATTAATAAAAATATATGTTTAAAATTTTCATTCCCATTGAGGTGGAGTCAATTACAATACTTTATATATAAATACAACTTCAAATAATATCAAGTAGCAAGAACTTCATAGGATTCATTATCTGCATTAATCAAGACTTAGCTGTACTATTATAAATGCTTTAACATTTAATATGTGTCACAATTTTTTTTCTACAAACCACTTCTTTTCTAGCTGCATGATTCTGTTCTCTTTCAGAAGAGGCCATATTTTTATTATGTCGGGAAGCTACTATTTTGTAATTGTAGGTCACCATGATAATCCTGTATTTGAAATGGAATTTCTACCAGCTGGTAAAGTAGAATCTAAGGTATGATATCTTTCTCAAATGCAGAATATATAGTATCAAATCATTGTATCACTTAATCACTCAGGTCCTTTGTTAATTTGATTTTGGAACTTAATAGTTTTTGTTATGATTGAACATTATTTTATATATTTATTCAAGTTATAAACTGTCCATCTCACCTGGATTAATAATCCTGATGAACATCCATTTATTTGATTTCTAACTGTCTGTCACATAAATTGGACCAACTTTTATGCCTTAAGCATGATTTAGTATAAAAGGATATATCTCAGTATAAATAAATGTTTGGAATCACATTTTTTTCTCCAAAAAACTGCAAAAAAAATCCAAACTACATATAAGTATGTTAGAATCTAATATTGCATTAGTCTGAATTCATACTCTTCATAGTTATATATTATAGTACATATTTTACATTGTTTAAGGAAGTAGCTTAATACTGTGTATTACGCAAACATGCATGAAAAAATATCTTAAGTTAATTTATAGTTTTTGTTTTCAGTATTTAGAGTTGAGCTTTATTTTTTCCCCTCAGGATGACCATCGCCACTTGAATCAATTCATAGCTCATGCTGCTCTTGACCTAGTAGATGAAAACATGTGGTTAACAAATAATATGTACTTGAAGACTGTGGATAAATTTAATGAATGGTTTGTTTCTGCCTTTGTCACTGCAGGCCATATCCTTTTTTGTTGCAATGCTATAAGAAGAACATTTCAGAATAGAGATGGAAAGCCTATGGCCTCCCAAATGTTCATAAACTACGATTTTCCACATTTCTTACCATGAGCCATTGTGGCACAGTGGTTAGAATGCAGGCTACTTCTGCTGACTGCTGGCTGACTGCAGTTTGGCAGTTCGAGTCTCACTGGCTCAAGGTTGACTTAGCCTTCCATCCTTCCAAGGTCGATAAAATGAGGTTCCAGATTGTTGGGGGCAATATGCTGACTATAAACTGCTTAGGGAGGGCTGTGTGAAGCGGTATATAAGTCTAAGTGCTATTGCCATGGTCGCTGAAATAGTTATGTATTTAAGTTGCATGTAGTAGTCTGTAGGTTTCTCATCAATTTTATAATATGTAGTTATCAAACCAGTATAAATACCCCATCTCACAAATGCAGAGATTCGGCAATAAATATAATATTTAAAGATCTTAATGACATAGAACCACATTACTTGCAGGATTGCTCTGTCTATTTCACCAGATCAGATAGGATGGGCACACTCCAGGTCCCTTATATGTTTTCCTCTAACAAAAGCTAGAAAGTGCACCCTGCCCTGTGGAATATCCTCTATACAGAGATCTGGTAAGCCACGGATTTGCAACTTTAAGACTTGTGGACTTCAACTCCCAGAATTCTGAGAATTGGAATTCCACAAGTCTTAAAGTTACCAAGTTTGGAGACCTCTGTAGTAAGCCTTCACCTTCTTTCCTTCCTTTATCTGGCCCACAAGTGTTGGTGTAGAATGAGTTTGAAGCACAGTAATATGTTATGTTGATGTGTTAGAAAGTGTTCTCGGGCATCATAAGTTTTACTGTCATTGTTTAGAGCTTTTTATAGTTTGAAGGTCTGCAAGGCCTACCATCACTTACTTCATGGTGAATTCCCTACTCAGAAAACATTTCTACCCCTATTGTATTGAACCAAGGGGTTAATTCAGTCTGAGGAGTTCCTGAGGAGCATTACTCCAGGAATCAAATGCTCTGCCATCTGATATGAAAAACATTTTCCAATGTGAAAAAATAGTATTATCTTTATCAGAAAAGAGGAAAGATTTCAATGATAATTAGGCCATTAAGATGGAATAGCAGTCTTGATCTTCCATCATGCAGCTGGGTCCATAAAGGAGGCAAGAGAAGCAGCAAAAATTTTTGCAAAGCAGAAAAACAGCCCAGCAAGGGGAAGAGCTCGGTTAGATTAGCTGAGCCTCTGCCCCAATCAGCTGTATGGGTAGACTGAAATCTGTCCTAGGATTTGGGGAAGCCAGGTGCTGCATGCAAAGGTGGCAGCTTCAGCTTCCCAAAACCAGAAATGTAAATTTGCCTTGAGGAGATGAAGAAAAAGTTCAGCTATAAAGAAAAAGTGGCTAAAGCACAAACATGCACCAAATGGCAATGGCAGAAGCTGGGTCCTAAAGGAGTCAGACAGGCAGCAAAAAGCTTTGAAAGCTTTGGAATGCAGAGATGAAGGAATTGTCAGAGCACTGTAAAATGGATGCTTTCAGGAGGCCTGGGGAACAGGCCCAAGCCCTGCAGGATTTCTTTGGTGCAGGATGGGGGAAAGAGACAGGGGGATGTTGCAGCATTCTTGTGGTCAGTTGCAAGGATGAATGACAGTGGGGACATTGCAACTGATGTAAGTTTGAAATTGGATTGCTTGTAGTTTTTGGGATGGAGTGTCATAACTTCAAAAGGCTGTTGCTACTGGCAGTATCTCGAAGATTACTTGCTCAACAAATATATCTACAAACTTTTCTATGATTATCTCTTTTTCATCCTATGTGTTTTCAGTAATAAGTACTTCGATGTCAGATAGTCATTCTATTATTTATAGCTTCTACTGTACTCTTTGTACCTGTAAAAAGTATATTGATTTAAAATGATGCAATTAAAAGCAGAGAACTTTCACCATAAATAAAGCAAAAATTATTAGAACACTTATCAAAATTCCGGGCAAGAAAAGTCAGCTTTGTCGTCATGAACCAAAGAATACTTTTGAAAAACTTGTTTTTTATAACTTACAGATATTAAACAAAAACTTTTGAATGTCAACTGAATAAAGAAATGTTGTTTCTAAAACAAATGAAAACTTAATTGGAAAGGCTGCGATCATTTGTTAAGAATTGGATTTCAAAGAAACTTCAAAGATGCTGTGATCTAGCATCTGGACACTTGGTTGTATCCTTCTCCAGACCCTTCTTAGTCTGAGCCTTAAATGTGATACTAAGTGAAGAATTTTAGGATCATTTCCCCCAGTTGCCATAGCTTATGGCAGAGTTTCTCAAACATGGCAACTTTAAGATGGCAACTCCCAGAATTCCTGGAACTTGAAATCCACCCATCTTAAACTTGCCATGTTTGAAAAACACTGGCTTATGATGTTCTCCCTGGAATATATTCGTGTATGCCCACTTCAATTTTTCACATATATTTGGCTGGGAAAATATATTCTGTTCAAAAGGGTTTTTTTTATGTTTTGCTGCCTTTTTTTATATAGGATTTAAATTGTGTGGCATGTAGCTTTAGCCAGACTGTATGTAAATCATTAAAAACAAATTTGTTTTCTTAACTTTTTCTACATATGAGATTTATAATGCTTCATGATGTAAGACAAGAAGATGGAATCAAAAACTTCTTTAGTGATGTCTATGATCTGTATATAAAGGTAAAAGCTATATCAA